TATATATATATATATATATATATATATATATATATATATATATATAAGAACAAGGGTTAATTTTACTGTAATTACTTTATTTAGTATTCAGTCTCAAAGTATAAAAATAAAAAAATAAAAATGATCCTTCTGTTATTTAGACTGAAAAAGTCTGCACAAAAATTAGATCAACAAAATCCACCACAAAAACTAAAGTGCAGGTGCAGTTCCAAAACAATAAAATAAAATTAAATTAAAGCTTAAGATCTGCATAAATGTAGCCTCCAAGAAAAAATATGTTGCCTTTTAATGAGCTATAACTTCCAAAACAAACGCTGAAAACTAATGCATTGTTGCCTGAAAGACTGCTGATCAACACCATCAACCAATTTCCTGATCCTCAGGAAAGCAGCTGCTCTCGAGGTTTGAGCTGCACAGTTCCTCATCGCTGTTGGTGCACACTCAGACTCAGGTCATGCTCCGCGGTTCGACTTGACCATAAATCAGTGGTTGATGCATTCAGTGTTTCCCCTACCATTATACAAGCGGGATGCCCCGCTGCGTCAACAGAACCGAGCGCCCAGTCTACTGCACCGAGCTGCGTGCACCCCCGCCCCACCCGTCTGCACTGGCGTAACTCCAAGTTAGCAATGCGCTAGCTGAAAAGCTAAAGGCAACGTCTTCCCTCACACTGACCAGCTCAAGAACTGTCGGGACAAACAGCACTCAGCTAAGATGTGTCTGTGTTCCTCCTGCTCTAAAACAGTGCACCGCTCAGATGTCTCCATCTATGCCTTCATCGCAGCGTAATCCGCTGCGTGGTGGGATGACGTATTTACGTCATGCAATTAGCATATCATGATATCATTTATTTTCCCAGGCAAGTTTTTTTTACCGGTATTATCGTGAACAATATGATATGGCCCAGCCCTAGCTTGACATACCGTATTTTCCAGCCTTATATGGCGAAGAGACACATTTACGTTTTTTATCCACTTTATTAGACATATTTGGACTGATGCGACTTATACGGCAGTGTGACGTGTATAGCGGAGAATACGAACTTAAAGAATCTGTTAATTTTCCTAATTTATCAGCATTGCTCTGCATCAACAGCACCAAGATATGTATTGTTGTTGCTTTGATTTTTAACACAATAAACTAATTTAAATAACTTATTACACGTTATATTTTGCTGCTTTTTTGCTGTTAGTTTATTTCTATTTAAAATAAAAATGAGAGGACATTAACTGAAGTTGAAAGGTAAAGGATTTCAGATGCTGCTTTGCTTTGACTGGAGGACCTTATTGTTGTGGAGCGTTGCTGCCTCCTGTGAAATGGTTGTGAGTTAATCAGACGTCTGCCTCATTATGAAAGATCCTGTGAGATTTTGCCAAACTGTGACTGCATACTTGTTTTGACCAAAGCACGAGAGAAATTATTGTTCCATTCCCAGTCTAAAAATTATCATCTACTTGGAAAAGAGAAAAAAAACAGTCTTGTCTGATGGAGTGCTGCCAAGTCAAATTAAAAAACTTAAATATTTATATTTTATGTTAAATAAAAACGTCATGCCAATCATGCGGCTCATCCATCAATCAGCCAATTGAGTGTCATGTCCAATTTTATTTTGAAAAACCGTGAGGGAGCGAGTCCGCGATAAACGAACCGCGAAGTAGCGAGGGACTACTG